CCTCAAGGGTCCCTTCCAGCTCTGATCCTTCAGTGATTCTGTGAAATACCTGCAGTTTTCTTAATGCCAGACCGATGAATAGAGAAACCTGTATTAACTGCAACAAAACATCTGCGGATTGGCATTGCACCCACAGGTGCCTTTAACAAAACAAAAGAATGTCCATGATTTTACACCTCTACCTTATCAAACCAACGACTGAGTTTACCAATTAATACCCTTTTTAAAGCTCTGCATCCTTACCTGATTGTAGTGGGTTTCACAATATGCTAAGCCTTTTCTCTCGTAATGACGATGACCCAGGAATGGCTTTTCACATTTTGCACAAACAAAATGCTACAAAGAAAATGACACACATGTTTTTGATTATTTGGAAGTAATGGTATTTCTTCTGGAAAGCAAACCAATCAGATCCACTATGGAACATGACTGAAGCTAGCTGTGCCCCCTGAAAAGCAGAGTTAACCCTTTTGTTTCTACGTTTGGACCACTAAAATTATATTTCTTTTAATATCTTCACCATTTCAATCCAAAAGTCACAAAAAAACTAAAGCAAAGGAACATCTTTTTTTAATCAATGAACAGAATTAGAAGTGATTAAATAACCTGCACCACCATTCTGCTCCTGTGAAGAAGACTGGATGTGGCACTTAGTGCCATGGTCTAGTGACCATGGTAGGGTTGGACTCAATGATCTCTGAGGTCTCTTCCAACTCGATTGATTCTATAATTCTATGATTCTACTAAAGAATTTCCTAGAGGAGATTCTCAAAACAACAGAAGGTATAAACTGTTTATCTTCCTAATTTAAATGGAAGATGTGGAACTAAATTTTTCACATGGCCTTGAAATAGGAACTCTCACAGTAAGTACTTAACAGATATGTACATGGCAGGTGACTGTGGAAGACTTAAAGGTATTATCATGCGCAGTAACATTATGGTTTCCACAGATTGTCTTGCCTTTCCACATGATATCCTGGCTGGGCTGTGCAGGGCCAGGAGTTAGTTTTGGTGAACCTTGTGGGTCTCTTCCAGCTCAGGATGTTCTATGATTCTGTGTACTGCTTTACACTCTGACATTTTCCTTTGTCAGGACTTCACTGTGCTTCCTTTGATTACTGATTTTAGTTTTACAATCAGAGCTCTCAGTAAGGTAGGAAACAGCTCCTGTTTCACCGTGGAAGACCAGCCACAATAAGGTGGAAAGAGGGACTCAGAGAAGGCATTTACTAATCATTTCACAGAGAGAGTGATCAGGCATTGGAATGTGCTGCCCAGGGAGGTGGTGGATTCACCATCCCTGGAGGTCTTCAAGATGAGACTGGATGTGGCACTTAGTGCCATGGTCTAGTGACCACAGTAGGGCTGGACTTGATGATCTTGGAGGTCTATTCCAACCAGGTTGATTCTTATGATTCTATGATTGCTGCAAACTTCGATAATCCTTTCATTGAAATTGATCAGGGAAATCACAGATAAATGTGCTAATGCTTACATATGTAAAAGACACTACATATCATCTGATGCTCACCTCCACGTGCCACTGTTTGCCCATAGCATTCACCACACGGCCTTCAATTGGTCTTCTACATGCCCCACAGATGGGCACACCCATTTTGTCATGGCAGGGTAAGCAGTAGAGCTCTCCCTTCAGCTCACGAGCATCAGCAGTAAGTTCCTTCCTGTCCAAAAGTCAATGAATTGAGAGCGTTAGTAAAGGCACTGAACAATGTCAGCTCTTGAGAGGTTCTGAAAGGTTTTAGCATTTGTTTTGGGAGTTACATTTGTAGTACAGCAACGCAGCAGCATCGAATAGAACAGAGTTAAACACAGTTTAAGAGTGATCACAGTAAACTGAGAACAGGCTGCTAAGCAAAGTGGCTCAGGGGTGACCTCGTGGCTCTCTGCAACTCCCTGCCAGGGTTGGAGAGAGGTGGGGGCTGTGTGTCCTGCCATGGCTGCAGGGAGAGGACTAGAGGGAATGGCCTTGAGCTGAGCCAGGGCAGAGTCAGATTGGATGTGAGGAGAAATGTTTTCCCTGTGAGGGTGTTGAGGCACTGGGATATTGCCCAGGGAGGTGGTGGAGTCACCATCCCTGGAGGTGTTGAAGAGGTGTCTGGATCTGACACTGGAGGATCTGGTTTAGGGTTTAGGGGTTCCAGCAGTGACAGGTTAATGGTTGGATCTGATGAACTTAAGAGGTCTCCTCCAACCTTGATGGTTCTATGATTCTAAGTCTCTCTGTGCTCCTGTCATTCTGCTTGTGCAGCACAAATCTGTGTGTGGAAGCTGCAGATGTTTGGTTTATTTTTTGGCACTCTTATCACCAGTTTGTTTTAGATTTGCATAACTGTAACTGAAAGCAACATGTAACTTCTGCATCTAGGTACACATTCCTTGTTGTATCAAACTTCAGGGAACGTTCAGACCACATGAGCCAGCTACATTTATTCACTCCTAACTTCAGAATCTCACGTATATATTCTACTTTTTGGTAATTTGCATTGTTAGAATACTGAGAACAGCTAAACTTTAAACTTGACTGTAGTTACTAATGCACTCAGCTGGTTGCCACGGACACTACTACAAGTTGTTTTTCAAATCAGCCTTTGCTGTGGCACTGCAATTGCTTCATTTGCACCAGAAATAAACAACTAAGAATCCATGCTGCATCCTACAATGCTCCACGGTCAGTGCAGGATGTAGAAAAGTGCAGTTCCATGTGCTGCAGTTGCAGAAGCTGATAAAAAGAGGTGGGAGAAAGCTTTTAAAAGCAGACAGGCTTTACAAAGAGAGGAGAAAGTTTGCATGCTGCTAATTAAAGAGAAATGAGAGGCAATTCAAGCAGCAAAAGAGGATGACTTTTCTTCTTCTACCAGAATAACAAGCTACCAATTCACTGCTACACAAACCATATCTGTGTTCATGCTTTGTATTTTTTAAGGTCCTGCAGAGTCCAATCTTTCTTTACTCCCCCAATCAGCTGTTGTTTGAACTCCACCATCCCCAGAGTAGTAGTAACACACACCTGGCCACAAGACACCCAAGCCCCAGCCCCTCTTGCCAGTTGTACAGGACAAGTTTTCACTTTAATTAATTAAGCAAACAAGCCCAGCCTTTCCCTGTTTGCCTTTGCAAAACTCAACTTACCCACAGTTAGCACAGTTGAAATGATCAGGGTGATAAGGATCATTTTTGAATATGAGAGGCTGTTCATCAATAATGGCATGACACTTCTGGCAAATGTACTTTCCCAGACCTCTGGCTTTTTCCCTGTTATGGCAAGTACGGCAGAGATGTCTGAAACAGCAGAAAAGAGAGAGAGGTAAGTAATGGTACCAGGTACTACAGCACAAAATATAAAGATCTATCAGAACCTCTTTTCAATCAGTCCTTTTTTTCAAGTCTTTGAAACAATTTCCTTGCTAGGCAAACCAAGTTCAGAGCACCAAAATGACTGGCCAAGTTCAGGGTGATTATTTTCTGTCACCACAGGAGTCATTTCTTCAGCTCAGCTGAGTTTAAGCTGTGTTGAAACACAGAAAACAAAGTTTGCTATAGATTCTCATTGCTGAATGTTTTACTTTCAAAATCTTAAAAATTTAGATTGGAACTTGATCAGTGGCTGAGGACAACTGCAGGAGGGTCAGTAAGGCTCAGTGCTGGTCCTGCCCTTGGGACACAACATGCTCACTAGATGAGGCCTTGTACAACCTGATCTAGTGAGGAGGTGTCCCTGCCCAGGGCAGGGAGGGTTGGGACTAGATGATCTGTAATGTCCATTCTAACCCTTAAATTCTATGATTCTTTGATTCTATGCTTCTCAATCTGAATATTTTCTCTCTGTTCATGTGTAACAATGGCCCAAAAATGTCACTAGGTAGAGAACATGTTTGCCAAGAAACCTAGAGTTGATGTAGGTAAAATGTTAACATTTTAAGATACCCATTCTTAGTTTTGTGATGCGCTTTTAGACCTTTTCCCCAAAGAAGATGCTTCAGTTTCTCCATCTCTGTGGCTCAGGGAGGTGATGCCCCAACCCTGGCAGTGTTCACAGCCAGGTTGGATGAGCCTTGAGCAACCTGCTCTGGTGGGAGGTGTCCCTGCCCAGGGCAGGGGGCTGAGATTAGATGATCTGTAATGTCCATTCTAATCCCTAAAATTCTATGATCTGAGCTGGAAAGCTTCAGGAACCAAAACCTCTCAGTCACCCCTATGAGTTTATTTTGTTTCTGATCAGTTCACAGAAGGAAGAGCAGAGACCTACCTGCCAGCATTCTTGACAAATCCAATGTCAGCCAATACTGCCTGGCAGATATCACAGCAGAAGCACTCTGGGTGCCAACTATTGTTCATAGCCTTGATAACACGACCAATAATGAACTCACCTGGAAGAAACACAACACAGAATCCCATACTAGGCAAAGTTCAAAGCAACCCACAACCAAATCGCTACAATGACATCCTCATCATTCTTTTTGTCACCCCAAAATCTGGTAGGACACATTGCTTTCAGGATCACAGTTCTGATTCCAGACTCTGGGATTTGGGTTTGTTTGTTGATTTTTGCTATGGGGCAGAAGAAAATGTCTTTGTTGATGGAGGACCTTCTACTCTACATACAGGTCCTTCTACATGCAGTACTTCATCTGCTATGGGGCAGAAGAAAATGTCTTTGCTGATGAAAGACCTTCTACTCTACATACAGATCCTTCTACATGCAGTACTTCATATAATATAGTTTTCTTGTGTCCTAATCATCGTTCTCCTTCTTTTCTTTAAGAAGATGACAATTTGAACTTGTCATGTACATAGCAGTGGTTTCTACTCCACTTTGACCAAGCCTTGAAGGGCCTCTATACTCAGAGCACAACAGAACTGAGCTTGAGTGGCTGTGGACCTCCTGAAAAACAAATCTCACATGGAGTGCAAAGCTGCAGTGAAGCTGCAGAACAGTCAATCCAACAGCTACCACAAGGAGTCTATCCTGTGAGGCACTGAAAAATAGTGTGAGAACTATTGTTCTGCTTGCACAGTGTGACTGTTCTGCACAGGCAGTGGAGTGATGTCCACCACACACACGATTTAGATGTTCTCTATGTGGACAGTGTACTCAAGGCCCCCAAAGCAGTGCAAAGGCTCTGTCTAAAATGAGTTGGGAGCTCAGTTTCCCTGTGCCATGGGAGGCTGAGTCCTGGCTTTGGAGAACAATTCAAACAGCTGCCAAAGGGCTGATTGAGCAGGTAACTGATGTGGCTGATAACATCCAGCATGAGACTCTGTGGTGTTCCCATGAAGTCAGAACTTTTCAAGGACAAAAACCAACTGATCCCAGAAATGTCAGGAATGCTCAAGGCCTCATTGCTGACAACAGCCCCAAGGATTTTTTTGCTTACTAAATACAAGCAGTGCAAAGCCCAGCTCTGTGCAGGTCCTGGATGAGGTTTAAAGTCAGCTGGGACTACAAGGAGCTGAGGCAGGAGAAGAGGGAGCTGTGCCAGCTAGGCAGGAGAAATCCTGGAGACAGGCAGTGTATCTCCTCAGAAAACTCCATCAACCCATTTCCTCCTCTCCCCTTACTTGTTCACATCTACAGCTTTAAATTCAAAGTTCCAGCACATCTGCTTCCCTCTCCCTTGGGGTTCAATGCCTCCCTCTGCATGGGGAAAGGCCTCACTGAGATAAGTGAAAGCCTTAGCACCTTGCCAAGGTGCCATATAAACACAAGAGCTTCCAGACCAGTTTAAACAACACTCATGTAATGGTTTCCCAGCTCTGCCCCATCATAATGTGTCACACACAGGAGGAAAAAGAAAACATGCAGATGATCACAGTGAAGCATTTACATCCACAGTGGGAATCAAAAAGCAGCCCTTAGTGTTACACAGGGTGGACATGAGACACTGAAGCCTTAAAGGTATAGTGCAAATGGTTATGGTGAATGTGATCACATCAGGATGGCACAGGTCTCTAGTGGGTTCTGCAGGGCTCCATCTCAGGCCCAGTGCTCTTCAGCCTCTTCATAAATGAATTGCATGGAGGGCTTGAAGGACTACTTAGTAAATTTGCAGATGATACAAAACTGGGAGGAGCTGTTGACTCCGTTGAAGGCAGAGAGGCCTTGCAGAGAGACCCAGATAAATTAGAGAGTTGGGCAATCACCAATCATATGGAGTTTAACAAGGGCAAGTGCTGATTCTGCACCTGGGATGGGAAAAAACCTGGATGCACCTACAGACTGGGGAATGAGAGGATGAAAAGTAGTGCTGGAAGGGGACCTGAGGGTCCATGTGCATGGCAAGTTGAATATGAGCCAACAGTGAGCCCTGACAGCCAGGAGGGACATCCTGTCCTGGGGCATCAGGCAAGGCATGGCCAGAGGGAGAGGAAGGGGATTGTCCTGCTCTGCTCTGTGCTGGGGCAGCCTCACCTGGAACATTGGGTGCACTTTTAGGTGCCACAGTGGGAGAAAGATACTGAGTTATTGGAGAGTGTCCAAAGGAGGCAACAAAGGTGGTGAAGGGCCTTGAGGGGAAGCCACATGAGGAGTGGCTGAGGTCACTTGGTGTGTTCAGCCTGGAGGAGACTGAGGACAGAGCTCATGGCTGGATACAACTTCCTCAGGGAAGGAAGTGCAGGGGCAGCACTGACCTCTTCTCTCTGGCAACCAGGGACAGGGCCCAGGGAATGAGCTGAAGTTGTGTCAGGGGAGGGTCAGGCTGGAGATTAGCAAATGATTCTTCCCCCAGAGGTGTTTGGGCACTGGAACAGCTCCCAGGGCAGTGGGCACAGCCCCAAGGCTGACAGAGCTCCAGAGGTGTTTGGCCAATGCTCTCAGGCACAGGGTGTGATGGTCAGGGATGTCCTGTGCAGGGCCAGGGGTTGGACTGGATGATCCTCAAGGGTCCCTTCCAGCTCTGATTATTCTATGATTCTGTGGTCTGTTTCAAAAAAAATCAACAGAGGTTCAGCTGACCATCACTTGATTGTAACACTAGATGACAAAGACTGTCGCAGCTCCTGTGGAGTAGGACAGCACAGGTGGACTACACTAGTCAAAGCAGATGATAAAGTCTGGTTGCAGGTTTCAGCTACATGAGGAAGGCCAAATATCAGCACAAGCAGATATACAGCCATGTATAATCATGAGGCATGAATGGTTTACATAATCAGAAGTTTATGAATGGTCTGTTCACTGGATCACTGACTCAACAGCTAAACTACTTATAAATAACGCAAACTTTTCTTTTTAAATCCCATTGCTGGATGACCTTTAGAAAAAAGCATCTTCCCAAATTCTCCGAAGCCTAGTACATCCTGGAAGTTCAGATGCTAAACTGCACAGAGTCACCTGAGAACACACACAAGGGTTGCACATCTTCCCCCAGGGACATTGCCATCTGTGATCAGCATGAAGTGTTACACCTTGATTCAAAACTTACCACATTGATGGCAGCAAGGGGCAAAAAGCATTTGAAAATCATGTTCGCAGTACTTCCTCCCTTCGAACTGCAAATGGAAAGAGATCTGAGTGTTAGAGGGATGAGGAACATGCCCTTACACCTTCAATCCTGTGCTCAGCTCTGGGCCCCTCAGCTCAGGAGGGACATTGAGGTGCTGGAGCAGGTCCAGAGAAGAGCAACGAGGCTGGTGAAGGCACAAGTGCCATGAGGAGAGGCTGAGGGAGCTGGGGGTGTTCAGCCTGGAGAAGAGGAGGCTCAGGGGAGACCTTCTCACCCTCTGCAACTCCCTGACAGGAGGTTGGAGTCAGGTGGGGGTTGGTCTCTTCTCCCAGGCAACCAGCAGCAGGACAAGAGGGCACAGACTCA